TGAGGGAAAGTTTACAGCTCAAAAAAGAGAAAGTGAGTAGATAGATACATCCCTCCCGTGAAAAATGTCAGTGGTGAACACTCCAGGTAGGTGGGGCAGCAGGCCCTGGGCAAAGCATGCCTTCTGGGATGGTCCAGCCAACACCACGACCCGCAGGGTATGTCTGCAGTCAACACGAAAGGAGCTCAAAAGCTTCAGATTGAAAACAAACAAAAACAAAAACAGAAATTCTTTGACAAGGCAAGGTTCAGTACCAGCACAGATAGGAAAGATCCTGAAGCTCTGGGGTTCAAGAGAGAATGACGAAGTCTTTGAGACGAGCAAGTGAGTTCACCCAGTGAGTCAGGGAAGGGCAACCCCCGGAGTCAGAAGGGATCACGAGCCCAAAACTGTAAAATAAGGAAAGCAAGACAGAGGCCCTGAGATCGGTCACTGCCCCAAAGAGCAGATGGGACAAAAGCCCTCTTCGATGGCCGCAGGGAGCTGAAACATGCCCTCATGGAAGCCAGGAAAAGGTTTGGGAAGCACACCCTTCCCTTCCAGGGGGCACACGTGTCTCCAACCCACATATACACTGTCCTGTGCGGTTTAAGTAGACTCCCATTAGACCCCAAATGCCTCTCCCCACTAAAAAGCCAAGGCCCCCTTTGCTGCCCACCACACTCCCGGGCACCCCTGCAACCCGCACTCCAGCCTGCCCCTCCCCCATTTCAGGGCAGAGGAAAGTGGCTGTGTGGGAGCCCCAGGGCCACTTGCCCCCTCCTCTGCGGCAGGCCTGAGGGGGGCAGATCTTGGCTGCAGGTGTCAGCACGCAGCCTGGGAGTTCCAGAAACAAGGAACAGGACCTCAAGAGTACCCCTCTTCTGACTTGCCCCTCCAAACTCACCTCTTACAAAAGCACCTCTCCTCGAAGAAGGACAGCAAAGAAGCAGGGGGAGGTGGATGTGAAGGAGAGAAATGGGAAGGGAGAGAGAAAAATCACTATAATTTTGTTCCAGGAACTAGAGCAATTTGGGATTTCACGCCCTTTTGAAGCTCAATGGCATCTACTGCACTGCACTTTGTTTCGAAAGCACTGGAGTGGGTGGGAGGAGACTCTGGCAGCTGCCTGCTCCCCCTCCCCACCCACCAGCACCCTTCCCACCAACCAAGCCAGCCTGCATGGAGGAGGCCACGAGGAGAAAACTCAGAAGTCGAGGGGCCCTGGACTGCCCCGGCCAGGCACCTGGCTCACGCAGTGCTGCGCCGGGCGGGGCATGGCTGGCTGGGGACGTCCCTGAGGCCAGCCTGAGGAGCACCCACCGGCTCCTACAGTGAATGCCTCACCGCGCTCACTGGGAAGGAGGGTTCATCCCAGTAGAGTCAAAGGCAGGGTTTCCCTGACAAGTAAAGCAAAAGAAGGGCCGTGAAAGGGTCAGCGGAAGTCCCACGGCTTCAAATCTTTCCTGTTTCCTTTTGCCCCTGCTTTCACCACGGCAGGACCCAGCGTGGTCTCCAAGCGGTGTGCCTAATCTACTTGGAATTTCCTCCTCCACCCACCTGGCATGCTCCCCACAGTCTTCAGCACTCCTAACCAGACCAGGGGTTCTCACAGCCACCCCAAGTGCCACTTTGGGACACCAGGAAGAGGTTCATGGAAAACCCGCTGCCAAGCCCCAGATGGAAAGAAGCAAGTCGTTGCTACTATTTGGCGAGAGCCCTACAGAGACCCTGTGCTCCCTCCCTTTGTACACCTTTGCTGCCCACTCTAAGCCTGGGGACAGCCAGAGGTTCCACTGGCCTGGTCCTTTACGGATGAAGGAGCACCCATCCCACAGTGGGACTAAGCAAAAGAGGAAGATGTAGGAAGGAGCAGAAAAATTGCCAAATGTCTTCCAAATAACCATTTAATAATCTCAGGCCTTTGCCTGCTAGAGCTCCAGAGAAGTTGGGGAGCCGCAGGTTCAGTGGTTTCCATACTTACTTGGCCATAACCTCCAGCTAGAAGTGCGTCTGACACTGCCACCTGGGGTACGCACGTACAACTCAGAGTTTCAACAAGCAACATTTCTATTGCACGCTGTGCACACTCATATTTTGTACTCTCACCAATACTTTTCAAAATGCTGACTCTACTAATGGGTCATGATCCACAGTTTAAAAAAACACCAGTCATTAAAGTGACACTGGGGGGATGGAACTTCATGAACAAGCAAATTTAATATTATTATATAATTGTAAGCATTAGTGAGGCTAGCTTTTTGCACTTAGTACCACAAAACAAGCAGCATCGGGCTCAGAGTGGAAAGTGACCAGCACTGTTAGAAAAACTGGGAAAAAACTAGCCAACTCAACATTCTCACTTAACATTTCAAGAAGGTTAAAAATGCATGCCTTTCAAAATTCAAAGAATACTTTTTTTCTTCCAAGACATAACTTACATGGATTTGGCTTCAGTTGTAATGATTTTGAAATTTCCCCAAGGCACATAAAAGAGGGCAATGGGTGTTCTGTGTTCAGAGACATGGAACACGAAATGTGGAGAAACACTGAACGGCCCCCATTTTTGGGCCCCCATGTTAGGAGTGACAAAAGTAAGGCACAGAATAGTGCCCGAGGCATGAAGCAACTTAGGGGCAGGGCTTGAAATCCAACCCAGGCCTCCCGACTCAATTATTCATGGGATCCTCCCTCATTCAAAATATTTAAGAGGAACACAGTTGTGGTCTCCCCAAGTGAAGCATTTCCATGACTGAGGCACAGATGCATCCCCAGCCCTCTGCTGGACACCAGCAAGTGTGCTGGTCTTGGCAGATCTCAGCACTCTGTGAAGGTCTCCCTGGGTCATGCAACCTGGGCTCGAGCCACTCCACTCTCTCTGTGCCTTTCGTCTCAGCTGAAAATTGAACAGAACAATCCTTGCTACCCCTTCCAAGAAAGTTGTAGGAAAAACGAGAGATGCTTTAAAACTAATCCTGCACCCTTAAGAACAGAAGAGCCCCTAAGGGTCATTATTTGGGGTGAGAATTAGAATCTCATAACCCAGAAGACCTCACTGATTAGCCAACCCAAGCCTCATTTTACAGACAAGCCCCATGAGGGCAGCAACTTGTCTAGGAAAGCCAGACTGTACGCACCATATTAACCTGTCCACAGGTGAAAACTGCTACAGAAAGTAATACTAAGTACACAGGTGACACCTCAATCAAAACATACCAGTGTCTCCAGGACCACAAGAGGAACAGGGAACTAAACACAGATCACACACTTTGAACAGGTGAGACAAATGCTTCTTGAGAATGTCAAAGGGAGCTCGAAAGACATGACTAATTATCTCTAATCCTAAACATAAGCTAAAATGATTCTCTGAACCAAACTCACAGCGAAGAGGCCCAGGGCCTCACAAGTCGTGGGGTTCCTTGACGGGACGTTCATCTTAAGACACCAGTGGCCCTGGAGCCTGCTCACAGAACATCTCCCTGCTCCCAACTTTCCCCACACTCTGCCCAGGGCACTTGAGACAACAGCTTCAACTGTGAGGAATTTTATTACATTTGAGGGTTTCTCTCTTATATACATGCTACCTGGTATCTGTCAAGGGTCTTTCCTGGAGGAGCTTTGAAAACCTAAGAGATACGATCTCCCTGATCCCAGCAGCAAGAGTGGCAGGCAAGGACCATTCCTCTAATTCCCCACTGGGACTCTGGAGGGACAGCCGAGTGATGGGTCAGACCCAGAGCCACACTGGAAGCCCAGGCCTTTTTGTCCCTGGACTTGTGCCTGTCCAGCCGCTGACTGCCAGCTCCAAGAGAGCTGCCCAGAGCAGGGAAAACCCTCTGAGTTAGACGTTCTGGCCTGCACACCTGCTCACGTGGGGCCAGCACCAGCCACAAGAGACAGCTGCTGGTGGGTGGCTCTGTGGGCCCAGCCTTGGGAGATAACTGCCACCTAGGAAGGCCTCAGAGTTCCCCAAAGCACACTGGAGCTGCAGCCAGAGGATTCAGGTGGCTAGGAGCCTGCTCAGGTTAATCAGTTTGCCTGTCTGTGCCTCAGTTTCTTCATCTGTTAACCCCCAGGGTTGCTACATAAATTAGATGAGATATACCTATAGAAGCGCAGCGTGTAACAATCTATATTAGTATCACTTCCTGTACCACTCTGTCCCCCTTGTCATCGGTGTTCTGGGCAGGCTGACAGAGGGCAGCTCTCTAACAAGCAAAACCCGCCTGCTAAAGCTGCCTCCTTACACAAATGCATTTAAAACTACCTGGGCAAGGGACCAGACCCGGTTTAAAAGGTAGAGTGCCTATTACACAACCCATAGTAAGGGCTCCACAGGACAAGCTCTCCCTGGCTGCCCACCAGTCTGCCTCCCCGAAAGCAAAAGGAGAAGACAAACGTCACTGCGGGTCTCACTGTCTCCCTGCGGCTCGGCTGCCCGAACTCCGGGGAAGAGGTGCAGGAACCCCGAGAAAAGGGGATCACACAGGACGTCACCGAACCGGTACCCCGGAAAGACCTGCCAAGAGCCGAAAGCTCTCCAGACAACCTGGGGATCCGCAGCCACACGCCAGGGCCGGAGGGCGCGCGGCCGGGCCGGGGCCACGTTTCCCAGCGCGAGCGTGTGAGCGCTTCCCCGCGGGGAGCGCCGCGGAAACCGCGCACGTGAGGGCAGCCCGAGCCAGCCCGCACGCCCGGAGCGGAGGGACTGTGCAAAGCTGCAGCGATCGCCTCCCAGGGAGCCCCGCCGCCGCCACCCAGGCCAGCAGCGCTGGCCCCTTCGCCTCCCCCGCCGCAGCGCCGCCAGCACCCGGGGCCGGGCACCCTCGCGGGGTCGGCGGAAGGAGCGGCGCGGCGCGCTCCCCGGAGCCCGGGCTGCGCGCGCCTGTTCCCGGGGAGACCCGGGCCGGCCGCGGCCCCGGGGACAGCGTGGTTTTGGGGCGCTGACGCGCGCGGGATGCAAACGCGCGCGCGCGCCCCTGCTCGGCTCGCTCGGAGCCCGGCGTCTCCCCTCGCCTCACCTTCACCGAGTCCACTGGGTACATGACCGAGTGCTCCAGGATCCCGGCCATCGCTCCGGCTGTCATGTGGGTGGATACGGAGGCGCTGGTCGGCAGGTTCTCATAGTCCTCCGGCCCGGCGGCGTCCTTGCCGCCGCCGCCATCTCGGCCGTCCCCATCCATCCTGCGCCCCACAGCCTGGCTCCCCACGCCGCCGCTGCGGAGCTCCATCCGCCGGCTCCGCGGGGCGCGGGAGGCTGCAGGAGGTGGGCAGGGAGGGGGAGGGGGCGAAAAACTTCACTTCTTAAAGTGGGAACCACCTCCCCGGGGCTGCGGCGCCTGACGCCATGGCGGGCTGGGGTGGAGCGGAGTGGCCCGCGCCTCCAATCACTGGAAAAGAAGCGGCCGGCCGCCGCCGCGCCATTGGTGTGCGGGACGCGGGGGCCCGCCTCCCTGTGTGACGTCACTGTCCAGTGCACATTTCCCAGCAACCGGACGGGGGCGAGAGGAGACGTTGGGGTGTCCGGGGAAGTTGTGCTACCTTGAGGATGGTGCGGGTCCGCGAGGGGCAGGCAGGCGAGGTCCCCCGGGAGGGTCGGCCTGGCAGCAGGGGCATGTGCCCAGAGCTGGAGGAGATGTGTGGCTCAGGGAAAATCCACCCCAAGGGCCGGTGGCTTTGCAAACCGTATTGCTCAGCAAGCTTTGGCATTCCTAAGGCCTGAAGTTAAAACTCAACGTCCCGTTCTACACTGCTTTGTTCAAAATTTATTCTCTTACTGAAAACACATAATACATAGCTAAATTTGTTCCTCCTCTTGTTCTCGCAAAGAGGCCAAATCCACCCTGCCCTAGGTTGAACTGGACTGGGAGTAGTACCCAGGTTGGAGCCCCTTTGAGTAGGCACTTCCAGCAAATTTTCTTTGGGTTTGAGATGCCCAGAAGGTCTTTAGAGGTCTGGTCTCACAGTAGGAGTGCCAAGTGACTGAGAGTAAAATCTTACAGCCTTGCCTCTGCCTGCCTTATAATTTCTGCTGTACTAGTTTTTAGCGTCATCCTTAACTGGCTTCTTCAATAAATTGTAATCCAGGCTGTTTTATTTTGACTTAACGTTGTCTTGCTCCATCTGGGGGAAGGGAGAGAAGTCAAAAAATAGGGTAAGGACCTGTCCGCTTATGGAATGTCTGCCACTGAAATGTGCGTGTTCCAAGGCTCAAGACGACTGGGCTTGATCCATCAGCTTCTTTGGCAGCAGGGCCTCCCTGCCTTATCTGGACCAGGCTTCTGGTCGGGAAGGCTGGGCCTTGAGATATGAAAGAATGGAGGGGACCCCAAAGATGCTGCACCTGCTCTCTGCCCTGGTGCTGGTCCCAAGGTTCAGGTCACAACATCCCAGGAAGCTTTTGGGGACATGAGTGTCAGTAGAGGTGTGAGGACCAAGGGCACTGTTTCCTCATATTTGGTAGCATCGGATAGTAGCTCCCCAAATGGGTGCTAAGGACATATGATAGGTAGAGACAGGCTCTGTGTTTAGTAACAGCTGGAGAAAAAATTCTCTACTTTTGTCAAAGGTCATTTTTTTAAGAAACGTTGATTAAAAACTGCTGATACTAGGCCGGGCGCGGTGGCTCACACCTGTAATCCTAGCTCTCTGGGAGGCCAAGGCGGGCGGATTGTTTGGGCTCAGGAGTTTGAGACCAGCCTGAGCAAGAGCGAGATCCCGTCTCTACTAAAAATAGAAAGAAATTAATCAGACAACTAAAAATACATAGAAAAAAAATTAGCCGGGCATAGTGGCGCATGCCTGTAGTCCCAGCTACTCGGGAGGCTGAGGCAGGAGGATCGCTTGAGCCCAGGAGTTTGAGGTTGCTGTGAGCTAGGCTGACGCCACGGCACTCTAGCCCGGGCAACACAGTGAGACTCTGTCCCCCCCCAAAAAAAAAGAAAAAAGAATGAATCATTTTTAGGATATATATGCCATATATACTACATATATAGTATATAGTATATATATATACCCTACACTCTATGTATACTATATAGCCTATACAGATGTGCATGTGTTTTATGTACACCTCTTAATGGATGAGAAACCCTCTGAACTTTGCAATGGCGACACCGGGGGAAAGAAATGACATTTTGGATGTTTTAGAGGATTCTTGGAAAATATGAATATGTTGTAATCTTCTGGGACATGATTTTTAAAAATTTTATTAAATAAATGTAAAGTCAGAACCAATTGAAATTCTTTCAAATATTTATCATACGTATTCAATATTTTTTTCTCCCCATATCTGGTAAACACAGTGGTTTGGTACTGAGCATCCATCTTATGTTCCTTTTTGGACTGCAGTGCCCAGAACATTTAAAGCCACATTTCCCAGACTCCCTTGCAGCCAGGGATCTAGCTATGAATTATATTCTGCCAATAGATGAACTATCAAGATCTGGAAGGTGGAAGGGAGATGAGGCTCTCTTCCTTCTGCTTTGATGTTTTCTGCTGCCTAGCAAGGTCAGAGGCATTTGAGGTAGGAACAGTTGGGGTGGGCAGTGGCTTCCCTGCCACATCAGCATTGCAGTGTCTGTTCACCAGATTCGTGGGTGTTGAGAGTCATCTGTGGCAGTGGGGTGACCGTAATGATGGCGGCCTCCTGGTCCCTGTGCCATGGCTTCAGTTGGTGGTCTTCTGATTCCTAACCTTCGAGGGCATGGCAGAGGTAGCCACTCCCTTGGGAAGCCAGTTTGGCAGTGTGGATCTGCTCCTCCACCCCTTCCCACAATATTGTGTGTAGCAGCAAAGGGCATAGTGATAAAGGTGCCATCCCAGATGTCAGGGATGTCAGAATGCAGCGGCCAACCCTGCTCCTAGCCCTCTGGGGAAGCCCTGCTGGGAGAGGGCAGCATTCCAGACACCATACCCCAGCGCTTGGGCCACACCACCAGCAAAGAGGGAGCAGCTCTGTCTTTGAAAGGCAAGAACATGAGGACCCAGGAGCAGAGGAGTGGCAGCTAACTTGATCCTCTCCCATGGGGCAGGCCAGGAGACTCAAAATGACTTGCTGCTTCCACTAGAGTCTTACGTAAAGTTCCCGAATGTTGAAGTTCTGAAGATGTCATCATGCTGCCCTAGCCCAACTGGGAGCCAAACTCAACTTAGAAAGGGGAAGTTATAGAGCGTGTTGGGTGCAGAACAACTGGCTTGGAGTCACAGACCTCTGCAAGCCCTGGTTCCACCACTGACTAGCTGCGCTGGGGTATGGTGTCTGGAAAGCTGCCCTCTCCCAGCAGGTCTTCCCCTATTTAGTTGGCATGCTTCCTCCTCTGCAGACTGGTCATGGCTACTTACCCCATGGTGAACGAAATGTAGAAAAATAAAATGAAAGCTCATAGTGAAATATACATAATTTGGAGGTGTTGGGAGGAAAGAAGACAGAAAGGGGTGCAGAGGGAAGAGGCCCAGGCTTTCTCCAAAATCCTGCTTTTTTTCACAATAATTACTGTAACCCTGATATCTGCCTGCCCACCCATGCGACACACAGATACAATACCACCCTATCCAGAATTTAACCAATGCTGGATCTGCCCCTGGTGTCCCAGCACTCCTCTGCCATGCGCCAGAGAGAAGGCCCCTTGCCACTGCAAAGCAACTGCAGGCACTAGGTGGTGTGGTGCGAGGGTGACCCGCCCTATCTCCCAAGAGGCTGCCTGTGAGCTGGGGTCCTCAGACACTCCTGCTCGAGTCCACTAGTAATCGTGCTGTGTGACGTGGCTGGGCCACCACAAGAGCTCACGTTTGTCCTTCTTCCCTCTCTCTCCTCACCTATTTCCACAAATATACTCAGCTCCTCCGTCACCTAATAAAATCTCCCTTCCCTGCCCCACACCTTAAGCTCCTGCCCTACGTCCCTCCTCCATTCTAAAGCCCTTGGAAGAGTAATCTCCACCGCCCTCTCTCCGTGCAGTGCACTCAGTCGTTAACCCTTTGCGTGATGGTTTCAAACCCCTGCGATTTTCTACAGGAACTCTGCAAAGGTCACCAGTGACCTCAATGCCCAATCACTGCTCCTCCCAGCGAACCTCTCCACCTCCGCCTCCTCTGGAATTCCTTTCTCACTTCCGCTCTCTTTCTTCCTGCCCTTCTGCCTCCGCTCCCTCTCCTTCCTCTCTTCCCATTGGCCATCTCCCCATTCCCATGCCCCAGTTACCAACCCGGCTCCTCGGAGCTGCAGTCGCCGTGTGCATGTGCCTCCCAGACGGTTCTACCCGATTATTCTACAGAACTGAAGCTCAGGAAGTGTACGGTACCATGTCCTGGGGCTGCTGTAACAAAATACTTATACCACAAGCTGAGTGGCTTAACACAACAGCAATGTATTGTCTCACAGTTCTGGGGTGGATTTGAATTTTGGGGGTACACTGTTCAGCTCAGTACAGTGAGATAGAGGCAAGAGCTCTAAGAGGCCTGGGTTCTAATCCATTACAACTATTATGTACCCATAATATTTTATTTTATTTTATTTTATTTTATTTTATTTTATTTTTGAGACAAGAGTTTTGCTCTGTTGCCTGGGCTAGAGTGCCGTGGCATCATCATAGCTCACTGCAACCTCACACTCCTGGGCTCAAGCAATCCTCCTGCCTCAGCCTCCCGAGTAGCTAGGCACGCGCCACCACGCCTGGCTAGTTTTTTCTATTTTTGGTAGAGACGGGGTCTTGCTCTTGCTCAGGCTGGTCTCAAACTCCTGAGCTCAAGTGATGCTCTTGCCTCGGCCTCCAGAGTACTAGTACCCATAATAACTAAAAACAAAAAGTTAAAAAATAAAAATACATTCATAATCTTTCCTCACAATCATGAACTCCTTCTTATGTCATTTCCTAACCCCCTACATTGTACCTTCTTTTTACCAGCCAATCTGCTGGCAAGCTTAGAGTCATTTCTGACTCTCTTTTTCTACCTCTTGGATCCTATTAGCCATGGGTAGATTTGGCCTCTGGGACAGCATCACTTATACCTACAGTGACTAAATAATTTATTCTTCAAACTGGGACACATTTTGAGAGTGAAAAGGGTCACTGTTAATAATTACACCAGGATATATGGTCACCCTAATTATAGCTGGCCCCTGTTTGTTGTTCCCAAAACCATCTCCCTAAATCTATGGCCCTTTTCTCTCCTTACATCCTCTTAAAGGGAAGACCCTATGTGTCTCCACTGTTGAAATGGGGCTCAACATCCATTTCTCAGGTCAGATGCATCACCATCCATGAAGCCTTCTCTGACCCCTAAAAAGTGAGATGAACCCTGGGAGCTCTCACAACCTGCCCCTTGATACGACAGTTCCAGAAACCATGGTTTACCACTCCTGTTACATCCTAGTTCCTTGAGGACGTACACTGAGTAGACACTCAGTACGTATTATGAAATGAGTAAGA